TTAAAACACGTGTTAAATCACTCGAATTTCAAAAATTTATATCTCAAGTTCAAAACGGTCAATTGCAAACGGAAAAGGCTCATTTTGTTGCTAATTTTTCAAACTATTCACCATAAAATTTTTAACGAAAACTGTCGAAAAAAAATTCTACGCGACAACAACCTTAAACGATACGTGGCGCGAAGAGAAATGTGTGCACTGGCCGTTGCATCATCATTTATTAATGGTTTATCAAGAACGGTGATTTGACGTTGGCTTTTTAATGATAGGATTTCATTGCTGAGGAGCTCGGTATAAATTTAAAATGTCTACTAATATTAAAGCCTTTCGCGTTGATGAAGTAGTGGGCGCACAATAAACAAACAATCGCGTCGCTGATTTTACTACGCGTATAAAGATGTTCCCACTCAATCTGATATTTATCGGACCGCGTGTCTTGGGCCGAAGACTCGACTTTTGAAATAGTTTTTTCCCGTCAAAATGGAATCATTATTGGTTGGTTTTTCATCACAAATTTCAAAGATCTGATCTCATTCTGGTGCGCTAATGAATTTAATGGAAAACTCTCGTCATATCCCGCATGTTGTCCGAAATAGTGCCGTTTGAAATTCGAAGTTTTTAATAGAGATCGCACTGGGCTCATTATCTCATTATCGAGTTCATTAACGATAACAACTAATTTGAGTTAACTATCACTTTTAAACATATTTTATTTGTATCGAAGTAAACCGTTACTCTTTAGTTAGAAATTAATAAACTAAAGTATCTTAAATTGCTGAGGTCGAGTCCATCATCATTCGACCATTTTACACGGAGAGAAAAACAGGAAGAATTGCGTGACTAATCACGTAATTGTGGGCTGGAGTGTCGTTTTCTTATTTTTTACTGGATAATTTAGGAAAAACTGAGAGACGAACAGTAAATTTTATTACTTGCTCTGGACAATTTACGTGACTGTCACGTAATTTCTTACGAACCCGTAAAATTTACCACATTTCCGCTAAAAATTATTCCGAGTAACGTAAAAATTATCCAGTTTCATTTAAATTTTACGTGACATTCCTAGACAGCGTTGATGGTACGACTCTTGGTCATACCCGATCGCGAATGATTGTCAAAGTTCGAATCATTATTGTCGGAAGGATAAAAAACCATTACGAGCGGTTTTTGAAGTTGTGATGCAATCAATTCATTTATTAATTAAATATCTTCTCCCTCAATTATTATTATTGAAAAAAAAAAGTTTGGGGAAAAATTGCGAAAGCATTTGGCAAAATTTACGGAACGGAGTACCGTCATTTTCCTACATCTAAAAGTGATTTTTTACCGACCGAGTGGTAAAATATTCTGAATGATCGGCACTTTCTCCAGTATTTTTCCCTCCGTGTACCGTACATTACAACGAATTGGGAAAAAAGAAATCTATTAACCTCGTAGTTCCGTATGTATGTATGCAGCGACCGAAGGAGGAGGGTAATAATGAGCATAGATACAAAACCGTAAGCATATTCGGATTTCTCGCACGGAAAATTATATATATGTGCGGTATATCTCAATTATAAGCACATATACACGGAGAGAAAAATACTGGAAAAAATAAGTAGAAAGTTCCGTGAAAATTCAAGTGTGAAAGGTAAACGTGGGGCGAAGTGTAAAATCGGAAAAAGTGCCGATCATTCTGAACATTTTACCACTCGGTCGGTAAAAAGTCACCTTTAGAGGTAGAAAAACTACGGTACTCAGTTCCGTAAATTTTGCCCAAACTGTTTTTTTTTTCAATAATAATAATTGAGGGAGAGGATAATTAATTAATAGATCATTTAATTGGATCAAAATTCATTTCATTCGGGCACTTTTTTCATTGATTATTAATTTTAACCATGTTCAAAAAATAGCACTATGTTTTAACAAAATGGTTTTCTTACGTGAATCGAACAAGACGTGTGATGAAACAGCTATTCAATTCCAGCATGTTTGAGGCTATCAAAACTGTTTGGAATGAAAATAAATGTAAATCAACTAATAAAGAAAACGAAAGACTGCTTAATAATTATAGTTGAAGTTATGGATGGCAAGGGAAAACGCATTTCTGATTGTTCACTATTGGTTATTTATATTATCACTTCGTCGGACTTGGAATGTTTGGCTAGGATAATGATGTACTTACTTTTAAACGCCAATAACGTGATCAGGTATTCTTTGGTCCACGCACCCTGTTCAAAAATCACCTTTACTGTTTTTTTATGCTTTCGACAATAATAATTTGCCGGGTGACATGATCCGAACTTGGACGATGATTCGCGATCAGGTATGGCCCACAGTCGTACCACCAATGCTGTCTAGGAATTTTTCAATTTGGTCACGTAAAAATCACGGTGCCTCACGTAAAATTTAAATGAAATTGGATAATTTTTACTGGAACTGTGGTAAATTTTATAAGTTTGTAAGAAATTACGTGATAGTCACGTAAATTTTCCAGAGCAAATAATAAAATTTACTGTTCACCTTTCATTTTTTCCCAAATTCTGCAGTAAAAAACAAGGAAATGACACGCCAGCCCACGATTCCGTGATTAGTCACGTAATTTTTCCTGTATTTTTCTCTCCGTGTACTTTTGGCCAAAATAGAAAGAATGACTGGCGGGTGAGTACGTGGAATCTAAACAGATTTTAATAATTTTGTTCGTGCACGCATACAGCTCATCATATATGCATTCAGATGTAAGTGTTACATATATCTTATTGGATAGCTGCACAATTCGCCCAATTTTATTTGGTCCAAAATCATTGTGCCGAAAAGTACTTTTGATTTTATT